ACAATTTAGCACACATAGACAAATAAATTGACAGTGACCAATAAAACAAAACAATTTTGTAGCAGCAAAATGGTGTTGAAATCATCCCAATTCTTGAAAGTAGAAATTGAAATATACTTGAAATGGACTCACTATTTTCCAGTGGATATCATGGCAGTGGCAAAATCTTTACAAGTACACATTGTTTTACTTTTACTGTTGAATTGTACCTTCAGCATATCAATTTAACAAGGGACCTATGGATATGTAGATCATTAGTGGGGACAAATAGGATTAATCATAATATAATTCAGTTTCGTGTAGTCAGCTGATCCTATTTTTGTTTGTCAATAAGTAATTAAATCTGTCACAGCACTAGACTCATTTATTAATCATATTGCAATACAGATCATCCTAACCAATGGACATACATTTGTTTTTCGTCAGACAGATCATTGAAACAGACTTGTCAAGTAATAACATTTTTGAGAAACAGAGATAAACCAGTACAAAAAGGATCTACACAATGAATTAAGTACTCTGGAATCTTGTCAAAATCGTCAGCAGTTGTTCTAATGAAGATTTCAAAGCCTTGATACTGGAATACATGCCCAATGGGAGTCTAGAGAAGTTTCTATACTCTGAAAACTACTTTTTTTTTATATTTTGCAGAGATTGAATATATTGATGGATGTGGCGTCAGCTTTAAAATATCTTCATTTCGGTTATTCAAACCCTCTAATTCATTGTGACTTAAAGCCTAGCAATGTATTACTCAACGAAAGTTTAGTTGCACATTTGAGTGATTTTGGCATTGCAAAGCTCTTACGCGAAGAACAGTCAATAAAACAAACAGAGACCCTTGCCACCATTGGTCATATGGCACCAGGTTAGTTATGTTCTTGCTTAACTTTCTTTGATATATATTTTGGTGTCTTTTCAAAATGTTATTGATTTATCTAACAATAAAAGTGACCTTATCAACAAAGTATGGAAGAGAAAGAAAGGTGTCAACAAGTGGAGATGTTTACAGCTATGGTATTATGCTGATGGAAACATTTTCTGGGAAGAAGCCAACCGACGGAATCTTTTCTAGGGAGATGAACCTAAAGCATTGGGTTACTGAAGCATTACATGGTGATGAAGTTATGATGCTTTGCTGGAAGTGCATTGTTCAAGGCCTGAAGTTTGAAGACAATTTTTTGCCGCCAATGAAGTGTAGTGCATGGTGCTGTGCTGGAAGCAGTAGATTAGGGGCAGCTTGTTAACCTTTTTGTGTTATGATGTATTTAGGTGAATGCAGCTGAATGTGAGGCTTTATGTCTCTTAATTGTATTATGTTTGTTCAAATTGTGTGGTTTATCTTTGATCATGTAAAAAGCTCATTGCTGTAGTAGTTGTAACAGTGAGCTGATGAAATGTTATATTATGTATTTGGTTTGTATAATGAAAGCAAGTAGTGTTGCACTCTTCTGTTTTTCTTTTCTTTGCATAATCCGGCACTAAAAAACCAATACATGGTTCAATAACAGAAGTTTTGGACACCAATTTGCTAAGAAGGGAGGATGAAAATTTTGCAAGAAAGGAACAATGTCATCTGTCTTGAATTTAGCTTTGGAGTGTACAAGAGAGGCACCTGAGGAGAGGATCAACTTAAAAGAAGTAGCAACTAGACTCTTAAAAGCTAGAGTCAAATTGCTCGCAAATACTGCAACAGCAGGACGCAGAAGAGTCTGAAATTTAAATGATGTTATCTAAATTTTGTTCTTTATCCTAACTGGAGACATTTTGTTTTGATGGGAGATGGTTCTTTATACATTGCTGCTAATCCTGTGTGCTTCTGGTCTGTCGGTATGTTTTCAGCTTTTCTTGTTTCCAGAAACTCTCGATTCAGATCTCTACCATCTATGTTAATTAATTTTTCTGTCGAAAATTCAGTTAACTAGGATGGAGAGATTTTGATATTAGAGCATTACATCAGTACATGTTGAATGTTTTCCCGTTATGATTAGAAGTATTCTAGAGTTATGTGTGCATCAGTAAGCATATACTTGGATATGTATGTAGTATTATTTTTCTGAAGACAGTTATTAGAAACAAAACCAGTATGACTATTTTCTATTTGTAAAAAAGGAGACGTCTGGTTCCAAGCTCGGTGGTGGCTCTGCTTCCCTCCGCTTTGGCTCTATCTATGATCAGCCTTTCCTTGTTTTTAACATTATTCAAATTTCATTATTTACTAGTTCATGGTTGCGATATCATGCTCTACTTTTGGCATTAGTCCATAAGTTAAACATTTCATTCAGTAGTCATTTTGCTCAATCAATAAAATGTTATGCTTTCTTTCTCTTAATTGTTGAAGTTCTACTTGAATCAACAGTAAACCTTGGGTTGAACTGTGTCAGACATTATCTTATATCAAATTTGCTGAAATTTTCTTCTTGCAGAGTAAGTGGTGATCATTTAAATTGAAAACCTATTTGTTATCAGAGTAACTGGCATTGCACCTTATAAAACCAAAGAGTTCTAAAAATTTTATCACTGTCCGATTGAACAGTTTAAGTATTGATTATTGGATGCATTATTTTTATTCTCCCAAGGAAAGGGTAATGTCAAACATGAGGGCACCTAATTTTTTAATAAGGGATAAAAGAGTAAAGGGAGATCTAACATTATTTTTTAAGTTCAAATCCTATTAATAGTAAAATAAAAAATGAGGATCTAATATGGTTTCTTAAGAGAAGAATCTAATATAGTTTCTCAAGTTCGAGTCTCTTTGAGAATAAAAGAGTAAGAGAATGATCTAACATGGTCTTCCGAGTTGAGTCTCCAAGGTTACTAATAGAAGTGACCATTAAAGCTCTTACCTGATTGATAGTTTCCAGATCTCAGAGGATTAGTTGAGACGCGTATAAATTAACTCAGACACCTGGATCATTAAAAAAAAAATCATAATTAATTACACTGACAACGATATACCTTTTTGGATAAGAGGTACGACGTAGTTGCGTACAAGATGGGTATGTATGATGGCTCTAGGCTCCGTAAATAAACAGTATTTTTTGTGTCATTGTTAATTTGGTTGAGGTTCGGCTTCGTCCCATCCCTTACCTTAGAAAACATCAACGACAGAGGCTATTTTGCAAACCATTAGCATCGTTGCTTTAAAAGCTGGTCCCTTAGCTTATCTTCTCTTTGTTAAATGAGCACTAAGTGTGTAAAAATATAGGTAGTGGGTTCATAAATGTGGATGAGATTTACATGAAATTAACGATCTCAGATCAATCAGCAATGTTAATAGTTACCAAAAAAATGTATAGTGAATTTATACACTAACAAATGTAGCACTATCCTCTTTTCTTAAAAAAAAATATTTATAATTAATCAACGTGGTGCCATGTTTATGGTGCATGAATTCGATATAATATAATAACTGTATCATTTTTCCAAATGAATTGCGCCTACTCCAGTCACTGACAAGTGAGGTTGCCGGATTGAACTGTCATGACAGTTAGTTGGTGAGCGGTCAATTAAATGCAGTTCATTAAAAACTTCTAATATTTTCAAAGCCTCAGTAATGATCGAAAATGAGATCTTTTAATTAACATGATGAATTAATTCTTTTAATATTTTTTTTGTGTAGTTGCGTAGTTGCGTTCAAGATGGGTCATGTATGATTGCTCTAGCTTCTAGGCTCTGTAAATAAAGAGTACTTTTTCTGTTACTGCTAATTAGGTTGAGGTTCGGCTTTGTTCCCTCTCCTACTTTAGAAAAACATCAACAACAGACTTGGATATTTTGCAAACCATTAGCGTCGTTGCATTAAAAGCTGGTCCCTTAGCGATATTTTGATTATTTAAATATCCGTCGCTTGTTTCGTGTTACAAAAGAATCCCACATTTCAATCTACATTCTCTCATGGAGATGANAATTTAATAGAGGAAGAAGGTTTACAATAGAATATATCACGTTATAACCAATACAAACTGTAACATTTTAATTGCTTGATAAATAAATTTATTGTTATTTTTTCTTCAACTTAATTATCTCAGATTTTATGGTTTTTCAAGAGGAGGGTCTAACACAGTTTCTTAAATTCGAATCCCCTTTAGGGTAAAATAATAAGAAGAGGATCTAATATACTCTTTCGAATTTGAGTCTTCACGGTTGCTAGTAAGGATAATTATTAGAGTTTTTATCTGATCAATAATTTTAGAATCCTAAAAAATTAAATAAAGTACACGTAAACTGATTCAAACATTTATGATCATTCAAAAAAAAAAAAAAATCAGAATTAATTACACTGCAATGATATACCTTTTTGGATAAGAGGTATGCGTAGTTGCGTACAAGATGGGGTCATGTACGATTATTTGGGTTCGGGTTTGTCCCCTCTCGTACTTTAGAAAAACATCAACAACAGATTGGATATTTTGCAAACCATTAGCGTCGGTGCATTAAAGGCTGTTCCCTTAGCTTATCTTCTGTGTGTTAAATGAGGCACAAAGTGGGTTCATGAATGTGGATGAGATTTACATGAAATTTAACGATCTCAAATGAATTGAAGTGTTAAGCGCTCAATTAAATGCAATTTTTTGAAAGTGTTGGTTGTCTTCTTGTCTTTATTCTGTTCATTTCCTTTAGAACTTATCGTTTGATTTATTTAAGTATCCCTCGCTTGTTTCGTGTTACAAAAGAATCCCACATTTCAATCTACATTCTCTCATGGAGATGAATCCTTCTATCCTTATTATCATTGCTTTCTTCCTTCATTGTTTGATGCCTTTGTCGGTCACAGCCAAAGGAACCAACATTAACACTGATCAAGATGCTCTTCTTTCTCTGAAAGCTCACATAACTCATGATCCTAACAATTTATTGGCTAAAAATTGGTCCACAAATAGCTCCATCTGTAATTGGATTGGCATCACCTGCCGAGGTGTCCGTAATCACAGAGTCACAGCTTTGAACATTTCTTTCTTGGGTCTTGGAGGCACATCCCTTCACAACTGGGACAAATATCTACACTAGAAAGCATTGATTTCAGTGTTAACCAGTTCTCAGGTTCCTTCCCTTCTATCATCTTCAACTTGTCTTCATTATCATATATTGATTTAAGTGAAAATAGATTATCTGGTGGACTCCCAGAAAATGTTTTCAGTTATCTTCCTAATCTGGAAACGCTCTTTTTGTTTAACAATGAGCTTGATGGTGAAATACCAACCACTTTATCAGAGTGCAAAGAGCTGCAATATTTGGCCTTGTCCAATAAATTATTTCACAGGAGCCATACCAAAACAAATTGGGAACTTGACTAAGATGAAGACCATATATCTCGGCGGTAACAAACTCCAAGGTATGGAAGATAATGAATTATCTGGAAGGATTGTACATGGAAGATAATGAATTAGCTGGTTCAATCCCGCACAATTTGTGGCTTACCTTGGCAGATAATCAATTCACGGGAACTATACCAGGAGATATTGGTAACTTAACATCCGTTACAGTAGTATATCTTGGCTTCAACCACTTGACAGGTACGTTGTTTACCACTCTCACGCATTTTATATCTTATTGTTTAGTATGTTTCATCTAGAATAGATCTTCAGGTATGTTATGAATGCGCGTGCTGGCATGTTTGCAGGTGAGATACCAAATGAAATTGGTAATCTTCCTAATCTAGAACAATTGAGGCTTAGCAGTAACAACTTTATTGGTTCTGTCCCAACTGCAATCTTCAACATCTCAACAATGATAGAGCTTTCACTTGCTGATAATAAACTGTCGGGAGCTATTCCACCGATCATAGAACTTACAAATCTTGAGAGGTTATTTTTGGGGCTTAACAATTTCTCGGGGTCAAATCCTAAATTCATCACTAATGTTTCCAAGCTCTCTTCTCTAGATATAGGATATAACTCATTCTCAGGCTTTATTCCCAACAATCTAGGAGATTTAAGAAGCCTCCGATGGCTGAATTTAGCAAGTAATTTCTTCAGATCTTCTACTCCTGATTTGGGTTTTCTATCCTCTTTGATGAATTGCAAGAATTTAAGAACACTATTAGTAACGGAAAATCCGTTAAATGGCAAGCTTCCAAGTTCCATAGGGAACCTTTCTACTTCTTTGGAAATGATTGGACTTGATCATTGCAACCTTAGTGGCAGCATACCCCAAGAAATCGGCCTTTTAAACAACTTGATAATCTTATACTCCGAAGATAATGAATTAATTGGATCAATTCCAGTTACACTTGGTAGATTGCAAAAACTCCAAGGCTTGTATCTTCAGAATAATAAACTAGAAGGATCTATCCCACAGGAGCTTTGTCATTTGGACAACTTAGTTGAGTTGTACTTGGAAAATAATAAACTTTCTGGGTCAATTCGTGCATGTTTGGGTGATCTCACAACAGTAAGGAAACTATTGTTAGGCTCCAACAGGTTAACTTCTGCCATACCTTCATCATTGTGGAAACTTACCGACATCTTGCAGTTTAACTTGTCATCAAATTTTTTGAATGGACCTCTTTCGCCAAGCATAAAAAAATTGAGAGTTGCCATAGATATAGATTTATCAAAGAATGAAATATCAGGTGAGATTCCGAGCACTATTGGAGAATTAAAAGATCTACAAAATCTCTCTTTAAGATATAACAGACTACAGGGTCCAATTCTACAATCATTTGGTGGCATGAAAAGTTTGGAATTCTTGGATTTATCCAACAATGATCTCTCTGGAGTTATTCCTAAATCTTTGGAGGCTCTTGGGTACCTCAGATCTCTAAACTTATCATTTAATCAATTAGAAGGAGAAATTCCAACTGAAGGATCATTTAAAAATTTCTCCGCTGATTCATTTTTGGGGAATCTCGCATTATGTGGTGCATCTCATATGCATGTACCACCTTGCAAAACTACCACTCATAGAAAATCGAGGAAAGCTTCCACTCTCCTATTGATTATTTTGCCAATAAGTATTGCATTAACAATAATAGTCTTGGGTCTTATATTTGTGTTGATCAGACGCCGGAAAAGGACTACAAGGCTGCCTATTGATGTTGGTATGTCCCCCCAGGGAACATGGAGAAGAATTTCGCAACAAGAACTTGAGAGAGCTACAAATGGATTCAATGAGAGCAACCTAATTGGTATAGGAAGTTTTGGTTCGGTTTATAATGGAAGAATTCAAGACGGGATGGAGGTTGCAATAAAGGTGTTCCACCTACAACATGAAAGGGCTTTTAAGAGTTTTGATGATGAATGTGAAGTATTGACTAGTATTCGTCACCGAAATCTTGTCAAAGTCATCAGTACTTGCTCAAATGAAAATTTTAAGGCGTTGGTGCTAGAGTACATGCCCAATGGGAACCTGGAGAAGTGTTTGTGTTCTGACAACTTTTTTCTTGACATTTCACAAAGGTTGAACATAATGATAGATGTTGCATCAGCTTTGGAATATCTCCACTTTGATTGTTCAATCCCTGTAATCCACTGTGACTTAAAGCCCAGCAACATATTGCTAGATGAAAATATGGTCACACATTTGAGTGATTTTGGCATTTCAAAACTCTTAAGCGAAGATGAGTCCATGACACAAACACGAACCCTTGCCACCATCGGCTACATGGCACCAGGTCATTCTGAATTCATTATCCTTGTTCATGTTAAACATTATATGGTAGTGATTTATATATATGATGATAATCTGATTTTTAAATCCACAGAGTACGGAAGAAAAGGACTAGTTTCTGGAAAAGGTGATGTTTATAGCTATGGGATTGTGCTGATGGAAACATTTACTGGGAAGAAGCCAACAGATGAAATTTTTGCTGAGGAAAGGAGCTTAAAGCAGTTGGTTAGTGAGTCGTTACAAAGTTCAGTAATGGAAGTTGTGGACAAGAATTTGTTATGAAGGGAGGATGAACATTTCGCTGTGAAGGAGCAATGTGTGTCATCTATCTTGAGTTTGGCTATGGAGTGTACAGAAGAGTCACCTGAGAAAAGGATCAACACAAGACTGATAGTTCCTAGACTCTTGAAAATTCGAGACACATTACTTGCCAATCTTGCAATGGTAAAAGGTAGAAGGGGATCGAATTTAAATTAAATTTCTTTACTTTTTGTTGGTAATGGGATTTTATCTTGTAAATTCATCTACTTCAATGGTAGAGTGTAATATCACAGTTTTCCGTAATCAATAAATACATGAGAAAAAAGATGTTGTTTCATTGGAAACGGTCGTTCTGTATCCCTCTTTTGCTCTGTTTTCCTCTCCTGTAGCCTTATTTTAAAACTATCATGCCCCACCTGATTAAAGGGTCAATGCAAGATTAAAGCCAATATCAGGAGATCACACGGCTGAAAAATGACATTAACATTTATTATCAGAGAACGACATTTAAAAGTTAAAAAAGAGAAAGTTACCATTGGAATCCCAATGCTGTCAATGTAAGGTTAAAGCCAATATCAGGAGATCAGACGGCTAAAAAATAACATTAACAATTATGATCAGAGAAAGGCATTACCGTTGGAATCCCAATGCCATCTATAAAATATAGGAGCTAACAAATAACAATCCACACCCGTCTTCAAAACCAGCAGGTAAAAAAATTAGAATCTGCGAGAGCGATTAGTAGATGAAACGCGAAAAAGTTTGTCTACGAAAGAGGAGCAAATAAAGAAGCAAAGCTAGAAAAGCCGATCTGTTCTTACCCATCGGTGAGTTATTTCTCTTAAACTATCAAAAACTTTTTCAGTTCCTTTGATCTTTTGTTTGAGAAATTTATTATAATATGATGTGAAATTGGTTAATTTGAGATAAATGTTATAATGATATGTAAACTTTTTTATATTTCAATTGATGACTGGTAAACCATTATTCATCAACCTAAGTCTAAGCCCAAGAAACTGATTCTTTAATATGTGGTTTTGAAGGCAGCATAAAATATATTTTGATTTGAAATTAATGCTGTAAAACTAGAAAAATGGAATTATGACGGTGAGTTTGGAGATTTTTTTAGACAGGTTGAACCTTGAACTTGAACCTTGACTATTGTGAGAAATCATGAAAATCATTAATTATTTTGTTTCAAAAAGTTTTCATGGCTGTACCCAGCCTTTGAGGAATTACGAATACATAGATTTGAAATCTTGTCTCTTTTTGTCCTCTTTTAAGTTTCCATTTATCAGTATAAAAGAAAGGTATGCAGTAGCGTAGATCCCTCATAGGATTTTCATTAGAGGTAACCATAAGGTTTTAAAACCCGACCCGAGTAATGACCTGGGTACTGACCTAGGCAGGTCACTGGGTTGATCGGTCGAACTGGTTCAACCGTCGAGTCGAATCATGATATATTAGCATGATGACGTTATTCTGATATTAACATGACATATAAAAAATAATAAAATAATTAAAAAAGTTGATCAACCGTTGGGTCGAACTGGTTGGACCGACGGTTCGTTACAAAAATCTGGTCTAGCCGCAATTCAAATTGGGTCATTTGAAAATTTCAGTTTTTTAGTCGAACTGACTTGACTCGATCACCAGTTCCCAGTTCAACTGAATCGGGAACCGACCGGGCAGGCTGAGCTGGGTTTTAAAACCATGAGTTGCAGTACTTAATCGGAGGTAGTAGCCTAGTAGGGATGTCAGTAATGTGGGCCCAAACCCATGTTGGCTTGCTTGTGTTAGGCTTGGGGTACCTTAAAAAATGCAAGCTTGGACCCAAGTATAAGCCCAAGTTTGTTATATCTAGGTTGGGCTCGAATTGGGCTTGCCCCAAGCCTAACCCAAAACAGCTATATATTACCAAAAAGGTTACTAGACCTTAGAGATAGTGCTAGAAGATTATAGAGTTTATGTATGTGGGAAACTATGATAGCCGACCTACATGGAAACCGATTAACATGATGATCGGTCGAATCTATGGTCAACGCCCTCCTCTTATTCCACACAAACTTACACCCACACATCTTCTAATATCATCTAAAAGGACTAATAAAAATAAAAACACATTAGAAACACAAATGAAGATAATATATGAGATCTTTTGCTATTCTTACTATTATCATAATATTACTATACCCTTAAGGTTGAAAGAAGGTTTAAAAGTATAAAGGAAACCTGAAAGAAACGTGCAAAAGAGAAATGTAAGAAAAATTTCACTAGAGAACAATGTAAGAGACATGTATAGCTTTAATTATCTGACAAATTTGTAATGTAGCACGAGTCTTCATCTTGGAAATCAAGACAACTCATTGCTTGAATCCAATCAATTAATTTTCTTTACTTTTTGTTGGTGATGGGATTTTATTTTGTAAATTCATCTACTTCAATGGTAGAGTGTAATATCACAGTTTTCTATATTCAACAAATGCATGAGAAAAAAGATGGGTTGTCCTATGCCCACCTTCACTTCTAAATGCCATTTTCATTGGAAACGGTCGTTCTGTATCCCTCTTTTGCTCTGTTTTCCTCTGCTATAGCCTTATTTTAAAACTATCATGCCCCACCTGATTAAAGGGTCAATGTAAGATTAAAGCCAATATCAGGAGATCACACGGCTGAAAAATGTCATTAACATTGATGATCAGAGAGCAGCATTTAAAAGTTTAAAAAAGAGAAAGTTAACATTGGAATCCCAATGCCGTCAATGTAAGACTAAAGCCAATATCAGGAGATCACACGGCTGAAAAATGACATTAACATTTATGATTAGAGAACGGCATTTAAAAGTTTAAAAAAGAGAAAGATACCATTGGAATGGGATTCCAATGCCGTCTATAAAATATAACAACTAGTCCACACCCATTTTCAAAAACAGCAAGTAAAAATTAGAATCTGTCGAGAGTGATTAGTAGATGAAACGGGAAAAAGTTTGTCTACGAAAGAGGAGCAAATACGAAAGAGAAGCAAGAAAAGCCGGCCTGTTTTAGCTCATCGGTTAGTTATTTCTCTCAAACTATCAGCAACGTTTTCAGTCCCTTTGATTTTTTGTTTGAGAAATTTATTATCATATGATGTGAAATTGGTTAATTTGAGATAAATGTTATGATAATATGTGAGGTCCGATTGTTTCCATATTTCAAATTCTATTCTCAATCATATTCTCAAAATAATTGTTTGTTTCATTATCCTCAAAATACTATTATATTTTCTTCAACTATTTTTATATCTCTTAAGTTTATTAATTTAACTAAAGACCCTCAGAAAAAAGTTTAAAAATTAACAAAAACACCCCCATCCACCTACATTTGTCAGATTCCTGTCACCACCGCCGGAAAGTGGCTGAAATCTGGTATAATGGCACACTACCAATTGGATCTAACAGATAGCGTGTCGATCTATCATTTTCTTGCCAAATCCACGGCCAAAGATCTAGCCGTAGCTGGTCGTCAACAACGGCCAGGATATAGCCGTCATTGACCATCAACGACGGCTAGAAATGGCCATAGATCTGGCCTTTTTTGGCCAGATCCATGGTGGATCTAGTCAGAAAAGACCATATAAGCATACGAACGGCCAGATCCGACTGGTCGTGCACTGCAACGCCAAATTTTGACGGTGATGGTCGAAATCTGACAACTATGATTGAGAGTGTTTTTGTCATTTTACAAAATTTTTATTTATTGAGGTGTTTAGTAAATTAGCAAACCTAGAGGGGTATTTTTGTTAATTTTTAAATTCTACCTCGTTATTCTCACACAACTCTTAAAATATCGAAAATTCTATCCAAAATAATAAAATAAACGGAAACTTTTTGGTATTTCTATTGATGATTGGTTTCTGAGGAAAAAAATTAAAAATTAAGTCCAAAATTGAAGGTTTTCGTTCTTTAGGGCTTTAGAAAACCATTATTTATTGACTAAAGTCTAAGCCCAAGAAACAGATTCTTTAATATGTGGTTTTGAAGACCGTTTAGTTTTCTGGTTTAGATTTTCTCTGCAACCAAACAGGGGTAATGGGAAAACCTAAAATGATTTTGTAAAAATTTTAAGAAATTAGTGGTCTCTCTCTGTTAATTTATATTATTGTGGCGATTGGAATGAAAAGGCAGCATAAAGTACATTTTGATTTGAAATTAATGCCATAAAACTAGAAAAATGCAAATATGACAGTGAGTTTGGATATTTTATTAGACAGGTTGAACCTTGACAATGGAGAAATCAAGAAATGCGTTAATTATTTTGTTTCAAAATGTTTTCATTGCTGTACCCAGTCTCTGAGGAATTACGAATGCATAAGTTTGAAATCTTGTTTCTTTCTGTCTGTCCTCTTTTAAGTTTCCGTTTATCAGTATAAAAGAAAGGTATGGAGTGGCGTAGATCCCTTAAGAGGCTTTTCACCAGAATTTGGAGTAATTAAAAAGTAACCGGACATACGTAGGGATGTAAGTAATGTGGGCCTAGACCCACGCTGGGCTTGCTTGGGTTAGGCTCGGGGTACCCTAAATGCAAGCTTGGACTCGAGTAAAAGCCCAAGCTTTTTATATCTAGGTTGGGCTCTAATTGGGCTTACCCCTAGCCTAACCCAAACCAGCCATTATTATAAACTTTAAAGCAAGATAAAAATTTTAATATATATTCAAATAAATTGAATATTTATAACTTGTTTATCCAAAACCTTGGTGAGTATGTTGAGTTCATGGTTGAGAGGCAAATTGGACGTTTGAACCAAAATTGAACTAAATTCTCCAGAGAACTTTTTGTAATATTGATTATTCAATAGAGTCTAGCTTGGCCCAAGCTTGGCTTAGAATATAAATAAAATTCTTACAACTTTTATAGAGTCTTAAGGAATCTTCTGAGAAAGATTGTACAATCACATTTCTTTCGTCCACTGCTTTTATTTTTTATTTTTATTTTAACTAAAAGAAAAGAAGTCTTTTACTTTCATTGGAGACATCATTTTTTCTTTGTGTTTTCTTTTTCTTTTGTGTTATTTTTTTTTTCTAATATAGTGCAAATTTGTCAATAATTATTTTATTTGTTTTGGATCCAAATTGTGAAAGAAAATTAAATCTTTTAACTTAGTTAATATTTTGATTTGCTTTTATCAAATACTCTTTCAATGAAAACTGAATTAGAGAAAGCTCTTGATATGTGCTGTGGAGTCGCGTTTGTTAGTGGTGAAAAAGCTGTTATTTCTTTTGAACACATGGCTCCACAACCCACGTCAAGGTTTTCTCTAACCCAATCTTCATTTTCATAGTATTCAAGAAAGCAAATTGGAACATTGGCT